CTTAAATTGGGCTAGAATCAATCTTGGCCCAGCTTTAGAATGTGTTTGCAATCATTTAAAACTAAGGAATGAAACTGACACCTTTGAAATTGGGCCAGAATTGACCTAGCTTTTGTCAGCCTAATATTTGTCACTGAACTTTGTCCAAACTATAACAGGTTTAAGATAGAATTGGGCTATATGACTGATCCTGACCTAGTTTTGGGTGGTTTACCAAACACAATATAATATATTAAAAGATTTTTGGTTAAGAACAGCAGTCAACAATCAGATTATTTCTATTTAAGCTAATATTTTGTTTAAAGTTATGCACGAGAACCGTACTCTATAGCCAAAAAAAGAAAGTTTCTATCGATATTATGTAGTAACATGAGCTTCTGCATGTTTCAACATTGTTAGTATATCATCTAAACCCTGCACAAGTAGAGTTAAGTAGAAGGAAAAATAAAACGCACAAACCTTTTTTGTTTGAAAATAATTACGTTTCTCAAGTACAAGTAAATATTTTCCTTGTGGAGCTTTCTCATTGCTAACTTGATGACATAATAGTTAGCAATGGCTTCCCTTATATAGGTTCTATGTTTTTACACTAGCATAGGTATGAATGAGTTCAACATACCATTGCTAACTTGATGACATAATAGTTAGCAATGGCTTCCCTTATATAGGTCCTATGTTTTTACACTAGCATAGGTATGAATGAGTTCAACATACCATTGTGCCTGAGGCAGTTTCCGCATATAAGCGCATAGCAATTCGAAGGATCCTCCCCCACAAGAAGTGCAGCAATACGACCAATCCACCCGCCATCACTAGGGCTCGGACCTCGATGATGCTCAACAACCATTTGGCTTTGAGCAGCAACGATCTGAGCAGAAGCTCCATATTCATTAGGCACTTCGATCATCGATCGAGATGAGCCACTGCTTCCATTGCCATCATTGGGAGAATGAGTATGTCTCCTGTTTCGGAGCCCACTCGACTGCACCAATTCCACATCATTACTTCTTGCTAATGACAAGTTAGCATTTGATTCATCTCGTAGAAATACATTCAGACCAGAATCAGTGCCCAATTTAGATGCAAGAACACTTGCTGCTGCAGCCTTTGCAGCTGGATCGAGGTCGTACCTCTGGATTTAAAAGTCCTCCATCAGTAAGTTGTGGATGCAGTCATTTGAACAAGTTATTAAAAGATTAATTGAAGAAATCACCTGAATGAGTTGTTGAGTAGTGTAATAGTTTGTTCTCTCTTTGAGCTCATCAATCTTTGCTTTCCTTTCAGCACGTAGTCTTTCAAGTGTCTTCTGGTCCTTGTGGTCCACTGGAAACAACAAACTAATTTCGATTATCACTGCTGAATAAACCATTGACATCTAAGTACACAGATAAACTGATGCTTCAACCTCCGGAAATAGTAATAGTAAGAAGAAAATGCTAAGGAATACACGAATATATCATATATCATTCCGAGAAAGTGAAGCTAGAATAAACTCACAGCAATTCTGCATACAACGATTAAGAATAAATCACTAAGGTGCATGCCATTGATGAATTTGTACTTAACATCATAGTCTTCAATCATGTTGCTAATAAAAAGATCAGGCATATATAAACAAAGAAGTTATTAATATCAGTCATCTAGTATTACATACAAGATCTCTGCTTATATATAGATAACAGCCCTCTTTTGTAAGGATATTGTACAAAATTTAAATCATAGTGCTATACAAACTAGGTGGGAGCCACAAACTCTTTCTCTAGTTCCAAACATATAAGAGAGGGCATCAAACATCCAGATTTAAGCATAATACTACACATACTAGGAGGGAGCCACAGCCTCTTTCCCATAATTCCAAACATACAAGAGAGAACATCAAACATGTCTACCTCTACCGCTGCTGTTGGCATCAATTATGACATCAGTGTACGTGCTTAAGCAATTTGTGAAGATCAAATGCTTCTTACTATTTCAGAATTCTTGTAAGTATTTGTCCACCATGCCATTGAGATTCTATCTGGGATGTTCTTCCTTCTTCAATGATGCTATTTCCAGACAAGTCTTAAATGGGATTTCCAAGGAAAAATCACTCTGATCAAAACCATCCGTGCTATTATATCTCTAAATTACCGTCTTAAGATTGTTACATCATCTTTATACTTGATAATTTCTCCGCTATTATTCCACCTTGCTTCTAATGCCAATTTTCACCTAGATACCAACAACTCTATTATTCCATCCGTAATGAATAATGTATGGGCAGTTAAATTACATCTCTTCATTTTGGACTAAAAAACCAAATTGGCATACAAAGTGACACCATTTTACCACTTTGGCATATAAACTGACATCGATGACATTTTGGCATAAAAATGACAAAGTTGTGACCATTAGACATTTATGATTGCCGACTGCAAGTTTTGGGTGCAAAAATTAAGGGATTTTTGCATGTCCCTAAAATCTCCCATATTTTAATATTTAACCCCCCGAGTTCTGAAATTTATACAAAAAAGAACTCCCACCCTTTCTCCCTCCGCACCATCTCCTCCAACCTCCTTCGCACCATCTCCTCCATTTTCTTCTTCTCATAATCCTCAACCTCCCCTCCTCTCTCCCACTCCCTGTCACCTGTTTTCCATATCCTCACTCTCACCTCCTTCTTTCCCTCTTTTCCCAACCCCACCTCACTTCTCAACTTGTTCAACTTCCCTCCCTCCCTCTCCCTCGCTTCAGGTAGAATGTTTAATGTTGAGTCTGAGAGAGGAAGCGGAGGAGATTTGAGTTTCTGATAATTGGAGGGTGAAGAGGGTGTGGGCAGAGCAAGGGGAGGAGGAACAGAGGGAGGGAGGGAGGGGAGGGGGCAGAGAGAGAGAGAGAGAGAGTTGGGTTTTTTTAATTGCAAAAATCAGAATTTGGGGAATCTGTAAACAAGGGAGATATGAAGGGTATATAAGCAAAAATTACTTAATTTTCACTGTTAAAACTTGTTGCTGACAATAGGAAATGTCCAATTGTCTCAACTTTGTCACTTTTTACACCAAATTGTCATCGGTTTCGGTTTACATACCAAAGTGATGAAGTGGTGTCAATTTATTTGGCAATTTGGTATTTTAGCCCTTCATTTGTGACATTTAGGGTTCAAACGAGGTTTTTAAGTTTCAACTTGTCAATTCATCAGTATTTAAATTTCATGCTCTCAAGATAAATCCATAAAAGTGGCTAGAATTAATTCATTCCCCTGAAAATCGAAATTTATTATTTCATATTTTTATTGTGAAATTTATAATTTCATATTTTTATTCTGTTTTGTTCATAATTAAAATTAAAAATATGAAATATGTTCCAGCAAATGACAACTACTTGACACAAGAAATATTCACATGTTGCCCTTCAACGCATGCAACCACTGGTAATGGGCATAGACTTTCACGGATGAGAAAAGAAATAGATCCATAATATTTTTTTTCAAATTTTCTCTTTTTAACTTGTTGATGAATCGACTGGATATGGATAACAATTTTGTTTCATGTAATGAATGAATTTGTCTCTTTTTTTTTTATAAATCCAATTTCATTGATTCTTTTTTTTGAATAGTATGACATTGATTGACTCTATTTCACCATTTTCTCGGTACTAAGGGGGGCCACTTGGTCTGAGATAAATTGACAACTAGAGAAAACTGTACACTTGTGTGTTTATGTGGGGGAGGGAGGGAGAGTAAGGAGAAGGTATTAAAGAAAGAAGAAAGTGAAAACATGTAAAATGAAGCTAATACCTTCACCTTTCATTAGGAGCTTACTCAACTCTAATCTATATATAGACCAAGTTGATTAGGCACTACAAGACGTTAAGTCTAAAGTAAACATCCAGTGGACTGTCCATAGGATCAAGTAACAAATCAAATTATTCCTAATGTTTCCCCTTCTAGAAGCAATGTAAAGTTTATAAGCATGACCTTTAAATCCAACTGCAATAAGTTTCGCACTATTTTCTTTGTTCCAACAGCTAAAGTAAAGAATTATTTCTGATCCAACTTTGACATAGATGACCTTGAAGGAAAATTAAATTAATTCGTAACTAGCATTTTCTGATCCAAATTTGACATAAATAAACAAATCAGATAAATATAAATGTAGCTAGAAAATATCATTGGAAAAACTAAAACAAGATATATCCTGACTTCGGAGATTCTCTAAATTTGAATGTCTGTATAGATCTATTTCTGATGTGCAAATATAATTATTCAAGCCTTTCTTATAGGAGTTTGTTCATACTTCATAAACCCATGCTTAATCCTCAAGGGGCTTGCTGGCTTCAAGACTTATTTGTTAGCGTTGGTAATGATGATAGTGGCCCTGAAAAAGAAGTGAATTTTTTGAATCACCTGAAAACGGATAAGGGAAACAAACGCCTGTATCATGTCATGACACTTGCGACCATATATATAACTGATGCTGGCACTAAATGCATCCATTTGTCATATCGATCACGTCCAATACAATAGTCAAACCAGTTATAATCCAAAAAACATTTTCAATCCCCATATCATTCATCTATTCAGTTAATTGGCACCTATGTAGCACGGACACGGATCCGACACGGCCATCCGACACGCCGACACGAGGCAAATCCTAAAAAATACATAGGATACGTGTGTTCGACACGTGTGTCCGACACGGACACGACACGACACGGCTTCATGTTATGCGTGTCCGTGCTTCATAGATTGGCACAACCAGTCAACTAGAAGGAGAAAAGAAGTCCAAGCGAAGCACTAATCTGAATAACCAAACTGGCCCAAGTCAAATAAAGTGATGACTCAATTATTAATGAAATTTGCGATATGGATAGACAAACCTAAATAAAAAGAATGTGAGTCATAGTTCAAGATATTTACGCAATTTTGTGAGGCGAACAACTGCTGTGTAGATAAGAAAAGAAAAAACAGGTGAAAGAATTGCCGGCAAAGATCGCACTAACTTCATTGTCCACCGCAGATCCAATGACCTCACTGTCATGACAGCAAAAGCCACAGCTACCACCTGGTAAGAGTTAATTAACAATTAAGCCTCTTGTAAGCTAATATTTTCTAACTCCTATAACAAAAAAAAAAAAAAAAAATTCTGAAAGATACGAAGACAGTCTTACTACTTACCAGGCAAACGTGCAGAGAAAATGCCTTTGAAGCTTTCCATAAAAATGAATTATAAATGAGTTTCTATTATAGGTGTAGATCTGAATAACAAAATATCACCTCATGTACAAAGCTGCAAATGGAGAAAGCTGGATGCCTAATTCTCTTCTCAAGAAAGGTCACCTCCATTTGATTAATAACTTCAGGTGTAAGTGATATGGAGGTGGGGGGTGGGGGGGTTATCACTTAAAATCCATATTGTAGATCTTAATTGTAACAAACTGCAGCATCTCAAACTCTAGAGAAAACACAAAATTATAATGATTTTCTCATGAAGGCATTGCTCCTGAACATCACCTCGGTAAGGTACGGTTAATGACATTCACACTCAAAACTTGATTAACCTTTGCTTTAAGCACACACCATATTTCATAACTGAAAGGCACTTGCATTTGGTCTTCTTTACTTTGCAACTCAGAGTCATTTGGACTCTTTTTCATCTTGGAGGTCTTATTGGGTATGGAGAAGGATGAGTCCATATGCCTGGATTATTTCGATTACATGTAATACAGTTTATCTGATAGAAGTAAATTTATCTATCTTTGGTTGATATTATACTTTTTCTTTATTTTTGGGCTAATGAGCTTCCTCTTCCCAACAAGAGAGTCCTTTATTGATGGGAGGCTTCGATCTTCAGATGCATCTATATATGTTGAAAGTATTGCATTTGTTCCTACCCTTTTGGTGTGTAATTTGTTGCCAGATGTGGATTTCTTTTGTAGGTTTTTTGGGATGTTATTTTAGCTTGTAGTTGCTCCCGATACTTGCTAGTTTGGTCTCGATGATTACTTTTAGATTATAATCATTTAACTATTTTCTATAAATATATATTATATGTTTATGATAGGAACTTTATGCTCCATGATATTCTATCAGAAACAAAAAGTCCTAAGACATGGAATCAACTAAAAGAGAAATGTGCTTTCTTCGATAAAATGAAACAGGTTGCTACTTTAAAATTCTAAGATAAGTGTTGGTCTATTAAGGCATGGAGTACAACTTATACTCGCTGACTCTTCAGTTGTACTATAATTAACTAAACATGTTGACTAAGTAACTCATTGCACGAAATTTATTCATGCTACTAGGTACTCATTGATGGAAAAGGCAATTTTCATGCTTGCACCCGCTTTTCCATAATGTTGTGTTTCAATTCACGAAAAAGTTGTATGGGCAAACATTATTATTTAAGCAAGTAATTGTCGAACGGATGTAAGCATATAAATACAATGAAGTTCAACTGCAATGCATGTTCTCAATTGTGATGTGTCTAGGATAATAGGATGCAGCAATGAGCCAGTTCAATGCTGCAGGCACACAAGAATGAGATCAAAGACTTCCTCATGCTTATATTTCGTGTTAATGAGAAGTTCAGATATCCAAACTATTCCTATTACACTTTTGCACAGCCCAACATTGGTCTATTCTCGAACACTTTAAACGTAAATTCTTCTCAAGAACTCAATACCAAGAGAACCATCACAAATTTCTACTTAAATTTCACACATACAGTTAGTATTAACTTTTTCAGATTGCACTTCATTCAGTCCCATGTTGACATAATAAGGTGTCAATTGCGGGTCTATAAAAATTTAGGCGTAGCTTTTAGGTGTGAGTTTCCTCGCTCTCTTATAAATGATATCAAAGCCAACCACAACCAGCGGGCATGCAGAGATGACACCCATGATTCAATGTCCCTAATTAGTCAATATGGGACTAAGTAGACCCTAACATAACATGACTTCTCCTAGGTCTCATACATCTCACCTCGCTAATGCTGAACCTCAGCCTGTAACCTTCCATCAGCTATAATGACATAGGCTCCACTTGCCAGATTGGCTACAGAAAAGCTGATATCCACATTAGATGCATGATTAGCTTTGATCCAGTTATTATGGTCAAAGTTCAATCAATCCATTTACTTCCATATTATTCCCTTTATTCCATTTTCATATCTAGATCAAAATTTTCCCTCCCGATCCCATCTACTATCATTTAATCACCAAAACCGAGCCCTAACACATAATCCAAGTAGCAAAAACAACAAAACTACCGATTCAACAGAAACTACAATGCAAACACGAACCACACACCTCGACGATTCCGGCGAGGACGACGACGTTCCTGGCGAGCTTCCTCGATCTGAGAGCCCTCCGCTTCATCCTGGCATGAACCGAGGCCTCCTCCTTCGAGAGATGCTGCAGCTCCTTCTCGTAGTCCTCTTTCCTCGATCCAAAAATCCCTCTCCAAATCCTCGCCAAAGTTCCCTTCCTCCGCCCACCGTCACCGGCGTCGGCGATTCCGCCCTCTTTTCCTTGATCGCGACGCGGGACTGCGCCGGATCCTCGCCTGCCGCCTCCGCCATTTCCTACGGAAATCAAGAATTAGGTCAAGAGATCGAGAAACGAGATGATAGAGATCGGATCTAGCGAGAAATAAGAGGACAGCGCACCGATCTTTTTAAGGGCGTACGAGTACAGTCTCTCTCTCTCTCTCGATCTCAAACCGAAATGCAATCGAGAGGATTGAAGGAAGAGAAAAGAATAGGGTCCCTTTTCCTCCAACGGCTCCGAGGGCTCGATGCGCCGATTTGCTTTTGTATTTCTTATGATCGCCAAGGGTGCATTATTATCCGTCACTGACATGCGGGTCCCACCGTGACCTGCTTTGCACACTCGAATGATGTGAGTTCGTGGCGAGTCGGGATTCCTGAGGGCACTGTGGGGCCCGCACTAACTTTGTTCTTGATTTAAGGTTATTACTTATTAGGACAAATTTTCAAAACCAACCCATTTAGGAATTTATTGTCAAAAAACGACCCCATTCAAACAAATTTGCAAAAACCGACCTGGTTTCAGCCTCTGCGCTGACACCAGGTCGGTTTAAAAAAAAAAAAATTCGAAACTTCACGGGAGTTGAACTCCCGTGAAGTTTACCAGCTTTTAATTAAGCTGATAAACTTCACGGGAGTTCAACTCCCGTGAAGTTTCACAATTCAAAAAATTTATTTTTGAACTAAGAAACTTCACGGGAGTTGAACTCCCGTGAAGTTTAGTAGATTAATTAAAAGATGCTAAACTTCACGGGAGTTCAACTCCCGTGAAGTTTCGAATTTTTTTTTTCAAAAACCGACCTGGTTTCAGCGGTGACGCTGAAACCAGGTTGGTTTTTGCAAATATCCTAGAAACGGGTCGTTTTTTGCAAATAAAAACTCAAATGGGTTGGTTTTGAAAATTTGTCCTTACTTATTAGGCTAGATAGCACTTACATAGGAATTTTGATCCTCTATGCTACGAAAAGCAGAGCAGAGGTCACAGGTTTTAATTTTTTTAACCATTAATTTTTTAGAAAGCGATTATGATATAATCTAGATTTAACACTCATGCCACCCATGTGTATTGCACTCATTCCTAATTTGTACTTAATTAAAAACTTACAACCGACAACTAGATAATTAATGATTGTGATTGTGTAGCTATTTTTTTTATAGTTGAGAGATTACAAATCCCTTATATATCCTATTGTTTCACCTAATTCTAGCTTATATGTCCCAACTTGTATTTGGTGGCAAAAAAAAATGTTCTTTGGATTCCGTAACAGTCACATGTAATTGTTAGTACAAATTGACAGTTGGTCGTCGGTTTGTCACAACCATTAAAATTGTGACAATCATTAAACTTGTGACATTTTAATGATTGTCATAGGGATATCAATCTAGACGACTAGACCCAAACCCAATAATCCATTCATACTCATCCACAAAATAGTCCAATTATACCCACCTACTTAACGAAGCGGGTCCTAAATAGATGGGTATTGCTTCCATTCAGGGGCTGTTTGGTTCGCTATTATAAGGGGTGGAAAACTCAGAAAACCCCTCCACGTCAGATTTTTAGCCCTCCACGTCATTTTTTTCGTTTCCGTCCATTTCTTTGTGCGGCTTTGGTTCGCTCAGATGGAAGAGGGAAAACTCTGCTGAAATCGCCGCCAACTCAGATTTTTTTCCCTCTCCGATTTCCTTTCCCAACCGAGTGAAATTGATGAAAACTCTGCCACGTCAGATTTTTTTTCCTTCTCTGCTTTGTTTACAAAGATGAAAACTCTGCCACGTCAGATTTTTTTTCCTTCTCTGCTTTGTTTACAAAAGTTTTCCTTTTTTTTCTATGCGAACCAAACACAAGAAAAATAAATACATTGGTTTCTCACCATTTTTTATGTGCGAACCAAAACAAAACAATATATTTATTGGAAAAATTTAAAAAACTCAAAACTTGTATTTCTTTACATCGAATTACATTTCTCTATATAAGGAAACGAACCAAACAGCCCCTCAGTCGAAATGGTTCATAACCGGACCCGCCCATAACCACCCCTCTCTGATCCGCCCCCACAGTCCCACACCCACGTTCTCCTTTCTCCCCCCTTCCTCAAACACTCGAGCCCTAGTTCCTCTCTCAGTCTCTCTCCTCTCAGGCGCTCGATTTCACCTCTCCCCATCGAGCAATAGCTGCTCATCTCTCTCCGATCGAGCCCTAGTTCCTCTCGATCAACAGGAGAATCGAATCTTCAACTTGTGGAGGCAACGGTTAGGGTTTCAGTCTAGTTCGAGCGTCTCTCCTGTTCAAATTCAGGCCTTTGATCGAGCAATTTCAACATTCAGGTCTTCAATCGAACTAATCACTGGATTTTGAGGTACATTCTTAGTAGGGTTTCTTGATCTTGTCTCCTTTCAATTTTGGGGGTTTCTAATCCCGTCTCCTTTCAATTTTGGGACTCTTTGAGTCTTTTATTCTTATGGGCGTTAATGTTATAAATTGAGGAGCTTTGTAGTATGTTTTAGTCTTGAGATCATATTGGATTGAAAAATTTTGCTGAAATTTTGGTTTAATTTGAAAAGTTTGAATTTTCACTACATTTCATATGCAAGTAAGCTAATTTGTATTTTCCCTTAAAAGACTTGTAAAAACTATGATTTCTATGACAAGAAAAAGTGGAGGTTAGCTTCAATATTAGTTCAATAATAGTTTTGGGCTTATCAGTTCTATTTCCTGTTATGTAATACTAGATTTAGCCTGGGCCATAGTAGCAAGGCTTGTTATTTATGCAGCTACTCCTTTTCTTGTATATTTTTATGTACATATGTACACAGTACTTGAATTATTTTTAAACTCAGGATAGAATTCGTATCCTCATGGTTAACCTTGATGATTTTCTTTATTTTCAACAGGCATTACAGACTCCCTTTAGAAGCTATCTTCTACCTATGTTGGCTCTTGTAAGCATCTCTTGTGGACAAATGTTCTCAACTTTTTGCTAATCATCTTTGCAATTTTTTTTACATTTTCAACTGGTGCTATTTTGGTACCTACATTGGTGAATTTTACCTACACTCCGTGGATGATCTTCGACAAAAGGCTCCTTGACAAACCTCTTTTATATCTAAGTAGACATTATTTGTTTTCTTTCTAATATACATAATTGACAATTCTGGCAGTTCTTTTTATATTTGTAAGAAAGCTTAAACATGTTTCATGTTATATCACAATCAGCATAACTCATACTAGGGAGATGTTGATTAAAATAAGTCCTCAGATCAGATTATAAGGAATTAAATATGAATATGGCATCTTTAAACATTGGTAGTTTTTTAATTAATTTATGCCTGTCCATGTTGCGAAATGAAAGTGGTGTGTTTCTGTTGCTGTGTATAGAAATCCTTTTCTGAATCCTCTGATAGAAAGGAATGTGCAGCCTGTTGTATGATGATACTGTCTGATTATCTTGTTAATGTAACCTCTACTTCATTCGTTTCTCTAAGAACTTTCTGGTATTTCTAATTTTCGATGATGTAAGAGTAAATAATATTCTATGTTTTACTCCCACCATCTCTTCGTATGGTGACAGATATCTAGTTGAACAATGAAATTGCTTACTGCCTTTCTGTTTCTGCAATACAACCATCACTTCAATAATTACATCTGTTTTAAAGCATTTCCCCCCATGTATTGCAGGGAAAATGACTGAGGTAGTAACTGATGCTAATGCTGGAAATAGACGGCGTTTACCATCATGGATGCTGCAGGTAAAATCTGGTGATGAACAAAGAAAATCTGCAGGTAAAGATGCAAAATGTTCTCGACCAGAAGAAGAGACCAAGAGTCCAGCAGCTCGGTCTAAGATAAAACCTGATCAAAAGATTCGATATAAGACCCTAACTCAGGAGTCTCCACAGCAATCAGATAGCTTGCAAGGGTGTGAGGTAAGGCGAAGAACCAAAAAAACAACAAGAAAAGATGATGGTCCCTCCACTTCTTTAACGGTTTGTAGTGGGGCTAAGAGAAAAATCAAGAGGAAGATCCTTGAAACATCAGTAAATGAAAGTACTGCTGCTACAAAGAAGCATGTAAAGAGTAAAAGGCTCAAAAATAGTGAGTTGGAAGTAGTATCCCCAGGAAGGAGCGACAAAGAAATATCATTGACAGTTGAAGATCTTCTCACCATTGCAGAAGAGGTATTCTCCAATATAATTTCCGTCTTTGTCAATGCCTTGTTATATAATTGGAATTCTTTCACTATACGGTGTCAACTAAACTCATAAGTAATCCTATGACATTCCAAATGCAGTCCGTTGACTTGAGGCATATGCTGCTTTGTAAGGTCTAATAAACAAAGCTTATTGGTTATCCTATAGTCTTATTTATTTGAAATACTTACCCCCTGTCCTCTGGGGATTGCATATTATTGCTCCTAATACTTATTTGTAACATTCTGTTTCTATCAAAGTTTGCTTTTCTGGAGATGGTGTTGATGTTTAATTATGATGTAATTGCAGTATGTTGCTGCTGATAAGGAACAACAAAATGAACTACTAGCTTCAAGAGAGTGCACATCAGAAACAAATCCTTCAAACCTGTCAATTTCGTCGAAGGCTATTAAGGGCAGAGCTCTCCAAGCTGGTGAATCCAGTCACATATTATCCAGATGCACAAGTACCAATCATAGTTCTCGTCTAAGTGAGAACGAAGAGAAGGAAGGAGAGAACCACAAAAGTGGAAATTTCTCTGGTAACATTATAAGCACAGGAGACACTGCTCAAGATATGTTGAATCTCTATCTAGGTCCTTTTATGATGAAATCTCCAAGCAAGGAGCAGAGTATTCAGAAAATTGAACCAAAAAGATTGGTGTCAGCTCAGACAATCGAATCAAAGAGATGGACGTCAGCTCAGACAATTGACTCAAACAGATTGCCATCAATTCAGGAAATTGAAGCAAAAGAATTGCCCTCAATTTGGGCAATTGAATCAAAAACATTACCATCAATCTATGAATTAAACGAACAGCTCACAAGCCATGAATTTTCGAAAGAAGAGGCACCCTTGATGAAGAAGAAGAGCAGTCTCAAGGACAAGGTGGCTATGTTCTTTGACCAGTCAGATAAATTTTGAGGAGAATGACATACTAATTAATTAACCAGGTCAAAAAGAAGAGGTAACTGTATTATGTATAATTTTTTTGACTAATGTTACGAGCAATACATGTTCATCATTCTTCTTGTAAATATACATATTCCTTTTAATTTAATTTGAGTTGTTATAAGGTCTTCTCGAGTATGACATAGATTTCAACATGACATAGTAATCTGATCTTGCAATTTGGACTCCGTGATACTTAATTTAGGTTGATTAGAATAATGAGTTTGATGTGATTTATCAGGTATTGGAAGACATCTCCATCTATATTCTTGTTATATAAGCAACTCGTACTTAATTTCACCAATGATAGTGTTCTGTTAAATGGAAAATGGATTCATGTTCGTTATTTGTTTAATGAGAATATAACTTCAAAAAAAATGTTATGCAGATTTAGTAAGAGTAGGAAGTGCCTATTTGATGTGTTTTGTCACATCAAAAGCAGAAACTCTCCACCTAAAATATGAAGATATGCAGAAGTCCGTCAGAGTCTTTAATTCCAGAGAAATACATCAGGCAGAGGCAATAGATCAATTTTTCTAACAAGTCAGCATGTCATTTTCTAGTACAAGTTCAATATTTTGATTAAAAGAAGAATGTTGATTGAAAACTCATTTTTGAGCTTCCAATTGTCTCATCAAATTTGCTTCCTATTTATTACGCGAATCTAGTTGTAACCCATCTATAATCCTTCTGGTCATTCAGTTTAGAAAATTACTTCATAGTAGGTTGGTGAGGAGCTGGTTTAGGCTGATGTCTATCTTTCTCTCCCTTTTTTTAACTTCAGTGGATATCAACCCTATTGTCCATGGAAAGAGCTATGAATTTTGGCGATAGTAATACTTTCGAGGTTATATTGATCTTGCTTGAGTTGAAGATTTTATAGAGGTCATGCTATTCTAGTTACCCTGCCTTGTTAGTCCACCTGGTAGAATGGTAAGCTATTGAGATGGTTAAATTGTAGGATTTATGTTGTTTTTGTTAGGAATCTTGACCCCAAGATTAGTTTGTTTTGATGATAACAAATATTATATATTGTGTATTATATGCTAACATTTGTTTTGCAATATCAGAGTTATATCAACAATTATATTCAAAGAGATACTCAAGACATAGATGAATTCAAGGTAAAATGAAGTAAAGAAGAAGATATACTTTATTGGCAAAATGTAATTTTACATTTTCTTTGCTTAGAAATTTGTACAAGCCTTGAACACTCACACACATGCACACATATAGTGTTAGAACACACTAACACATGCTTAGTGTGTTGGTTAACAATAGAAATCCCCTATGTTAGCCATTAGAGTTTATAGATATTGAGTCTTAAAACATTTCATTTATACCCCTTAGCAATTAGAATCTAGAAAAACTCAAAAGATCAAAGTTGTAGGTCTCTTCAAGAGCTTTCCAACAAATCTTAAATTACCTCATTCTGATATCGGATGAGAAAGTTACAGTCAAAATACTGAAAAGAAATTTTTAGAATCTGTGAGTTTACAGTGTAGTCGATTACTATGCCTTGTAGTCGATTACTAAGCAATTTTCTGACTTCACAGAGTCTGTTTAGACTCAGTGTAGTCGACTACTATGACTTGTAGTCGACTACAGATGCAGTTTTTCCAGATTTTAGGTTTTAAATAAGTGATTGTTTATAGCCGTTTTGTGGACGTTAATTGGGTTTAAAATTATGTCATTTCAGAGGCTATAAATAGGTTTAAACATCAGAAAACAAGAACCAAGTTTTGCACTTATAAGATTCACATATTGTGCAAATTAACTTTCTAAACTTTCAGTTTTTCAATCTGTTTTTCTATAAAAGAGAGTTTCTGATATTGTCTTTGTTCCTATCATTCTTAGAGCTTGTTTAGACAATATTCAGAGAGTTAAAAAGATTGATAAGCCACTGTTACACATTCACATCCATATCAAGGCTTATAGGATTGGAATTATACATTGCTTTAAAGAAAGGTTCTCTCGGTTTATGAGAGGGGTTGATCTCTTGGTCTAGAGATCGGTGTGACGATTGACATGGTCTTGTCAATTGGGTTTGCAATTTGCATGGTCTTGCAAATTAATCAGGTTTGCTTTTGATTTTGTAAGGTTTCAAAATCATAGTGGAAACTCTCAAGCGGGATTTGCTTGGGGGACTGGATGTACACCGGGGAGGTGGAACCAGTATACATGCTTGTGTTTGTGATGTTCATTTTTTGAGATTGTCATTCTTTCTTTGCAATTTATAATCTACTTTGCAAACTCACCCTCTAGTGTTTAAGTGTAAAGCTTCCGCAGATTTTTATAAGAGCGTACTCTATTCTTAAGGGTCACGATCCTACACTTGGTATACATAAGCAAAAACAGGACCCTACAGTTTTAACTATCTAAATTGGAAAAAAAACAGAGGTGGCTGTGATTAAATATGAAATGATATAGTGATTACTTGGATTGGAAGATAAATTTCTAACATGATTTTGATAGTATAGAGATCAAGTCCTTGAGTAAAGGGTTGAATCTTTAACTCAAAAAGGAGCAAATTATAAAACAGAAGGGGAAGGAAAGAAGGAAAAAAGATACGAGTTTGTTGACATCTGTAGGAAACACCGCTATCATGCTACTTTCTCCCATTTTATAATCTTCCCAAATTGTAGTGCAATCTTTTGCATAGGGATACCGCTATCATGCTACTTTCTCCCATTTTATAATCTTCCCAAATTGTAGTGCAATCTTTTGCATAGGGATCAATAAATTTATTCATATCCTTAAATTTTATAATCTTCCCAAATTGTAGTGCAATCTTTTGCATAGGGATCAATAAATTTATTCATATCCTTAAATTGATGACCTCAATTTAAATTCTGCCAGAATCCCGATCAAACATAGAAATCATTTATTAAATATCTTTTAACTGATGTGAGAAGCACACATTGGTATATAACCTCAAATTGGTGATCTAAAATTAAACATTCTGCTATAGGAATATTTTATTAAAAATCAGTTAACTAATGTGAGAAACACACATTGTTACATACACATACAACCAATAATTAGAAAGAATCATTTAACTGGACAGGAATACTCTCTTGTTTCATACTAATGAATGCAAATCTGTAAACAAAAGGCTAACTTGCACTTAAATGCCATATAGTTTCACCAACCTTGCACTTTAATGCCCCCTATTTTAAAATTATGCACTTAAATGCCCCAAAGTATTTGAGTGTTTCAGATAAATGCCCTAAAGTTAAAAACAACAGACCACGTTTAACTTCTCTCTACGTACCCAAGAATATCAAACTGAAGGTATAAAAGTACAACTTTTAGAAATTTTAGGCTGTTTAAGTGAGGACATTTACAGACTGAGGGTATTTATATGTAACATTGAGTAAACAATAGGGCACCAATGTGTAACATCGGGTAACAAAAGGGCACCAACGTGCAAACACTTTGAAACATTGGGGCATTGATCTGCAACATTTTGCGGAATTTAAGTGTACAGTTTTAAGATGGGGGTCATTAAAGTCCAATGTTGATGAAACTATAGGGCATTTAAGTGCAATTTAGCCTAAACAAAAAGAATGAATGCAACTTATCATTATTTTTTTCTTCCGGTTCCTTTTCATAGTGATACTGCCTTTTCCTAATCACATGCTGGCTGAGGGATAATGAAATGTCTTGCAAGATCAAGATGTAGAAGAGAGCTTTAGCAGAAAACTTGAAAGACCAACTTTGTATCCTTTTTTCTTGACATCATCAAATCTCCAAAAATGAAGCTCCTGTAGGGAGAATCCTTCTTGCAGCTCCTTGTCATGGAGTCATATGATGGACACAAGAAATAGGCAATGGAATATCTCTACACCTTCTCATTAACCATCACCTTGTGCATGACACTTCTGTAGATGTCATTACTCCAAGCCTGGTCTACATCCCACCAAAACCTAGACTTGTCACTTTGAAGCTAACAATTAAGAGAAACGAAACCAAATTTAGGACTTAATCATGTGAACTGGTAACTTAGACTCAGTGCAGCGTAGCAATCCTCGACATGCATTGACTTGACTTCTTATGCCATGCATAGGAAATTAGGAATTAGAAAGGACTCGTGTAGTTGAAAGGAGTTAGCCAAATATGTTATTTAAAGAGTGTTGATGTACTAGTCATCACACAGTAAGTTTGTATCCAGAGTAGGATAATTTCGATGAGGTAAAGGAGATTGATGAGGGAGCCGCCTCCTTCTCCGACTTTATGTCTGATTCTTGAATTGGGGAGCTGAGAAATCTGCACATGTAAAAACTCGTGAGAGGACGGGGATAGGGTCCCCCGTTGTACCTCCGACGATCAAGTTAAATGATAAACTTGAGTGGAAGAAGCAGAACTTAAGGGTTATTCTCCTTTTTGGAATAGCCCCCCTAAAAGGTGAATAGTACATGTATATATATTGTGAGAGAAGTGTAGATTGGGCACTTTGGCCAAGTATAGAGAAGTGATGGCGAGGTATGGGCTGGTGGCTGCGTCAACACCCACTTTACAGGTGTCGGCTGACGACTGGAGGGAGGATGTCCTTAGTATTAAATGAGAAGAGGGAGGGAGTATGGGCTCGTGGCTGCGTCAACATTCACTTTACGGGTGTCGGTAGGTGGTTGGGGGAAAGATCACTTAAGCATTAGAGAGATCGTCTCAGCATCGAATGAGGAGTGATCGGCGGTGTGGTAGAGCCCATGTGATATGACGAGTCATGAAGACTATCGAGGCTAGGGTCATGATGGGACCTATCCGGTGTTGATCGCGGCGCTGATACGTGGCCAGAGGGAGAAACCTGAGGCAGATATTATCCTCCAGTTTTACCGAGAAGTAATGCCCATCGAGTTGTCCTCGCAGGGCATTGAATAAAAGGTCGAGTGGGCTCCATGCGAGTCGACTTCAACAAGAGGGTCGACCGATCCCGACTCTTGAGTCGTCATGAAAAGTATTGACTTGACGAGTCGGCCAAGATGAGACTTTCTTTGTGCTTGGGCCACCGAGCTG